AGTTTACTTTACGTTACTTTACATTACTTTACATTACATTACTTTATTTTACTTAAGTTTACTTTACGTTACTTTACATTACTTTACATTACATTACTTTATTTTACTTAAGTTTACTTTACGTTACTTTACATTACTTTACATTACATTACTTTATTTTACTTAAGTTTACTTTACGTTACTTTACATTACTTTACATTACGTTATGTTACTTTACTTTACTTTACTTTACTTTACTTAACGTTACTTAACGTTACTTTACATTACTTTACATTACATTATGTTACTTTAAGTTACTTTACTTTAAGTTACTTTACTTTATGTTACATTACTTTACGTTAATTTACGTTACGTTACTTTACGTTACATGACCTTACTTTACATTACTTTACTTTATGTTACTTTACGTTGCTTTACGAAGCTTTACTTAACTTTACATTACTTAACGTTACATTACTTTACTTTACTTGACGTAACTTTACTTAAGTTTACTTTACGTTACTTTACGTTACTTTACGTTACTTTACATTACATTACGTTACTTTGTTACGTTACTTTATGTTACGTTACTTTATGTTACGTTACTTTACGTTACATTGCGTTACGTTACGTTACTTTACATTACGTTACTTTACATTACGTTACTTTATGTTACTTTACTTTACGTTATGTTACTTTACGTTACGTTACGTTACGCTACTTTACTTCACTTTACTTTACGTAACGTTACTTTACATTACTTTACATTACTTTACATTACTTTACGTTATGTTACTTTACGTTACTTTACTTTACGTTACGTTACGTTACTTTACTTTACGTTACTTTACGTTATGGTACTTGACTTTACGTTGCTTTACATTACTTTACGTTACGTTACTTTACTTTAAGTTACGTTACTTTACGTTACTTTACTTTACGTAATGTTACTTTACGTTACTTTACTTTACTTTACGTTATGTTACTTTACTTTATGTTACATTACTTTACGTTACATTACTTTACATTATGTTACTTTAAGTTACGTTACTTTACATTACGTTACTTTACTTTACATTACGTAACGTTACTTTACGTTACATTACTTTACATTACGTTACTTTAAGTTACGTTACTTTACGTTATGCTACTTTATGTTACGTTACTTTACTTTACTTTACTTGACTTTACATTATGTTACTTTACTTTACGTTACTTTACGTTACGTTACTTTACTTTACTTAACGTCACTTTACGTTACATTACATTACTTTATGTTACGTTACTTTACGTTACTTTACTTTAAGTTATGTTGCTTTACGTTACTTTACTTTACGTTACGTAACATTACTTTACTTTACGTTACTTTACGTTACTTTACATTACGTTACTTTACTTTACATTACTTTACGTCACTTTACTTTACTTTATGTTACATTACTTTACGTTACTTTACTTTATGTTACATTACTGTACGTTATTTTACTTTACTACTTTAAACGAATGAATCTTCTGTGTTTAAAGCGATTTAAAGTGGTCACCTCTCGTGAATGAACTCGGCCATCTCTTTCTGCAGCTGTTTCCCCTTCAGCTGCTTCTGCAGAAGAACCTCGAAGCCCGCCACATGAGTGGTCCCCTGGGGGTCCTTCTTGTCGGCCTGAGGACGAGGACACAAACACTTCTGAGTATTTAAGAGGCTGCAGATGCTGCGTGATTCATGCAGTCAGCGAGGACAGGCGTTGGTGTGGATGCGTCAGTCAGAGAGGGGCGGACGTGTGTTTCTCAGCTCATGAATGTCAAACACGSTTACATCACAAGCTGGAGTCTTGTTTGTGACAGCAACTGTTGGGAAGAAGAGTCACTTTTTTTGTTGCACAGCAGCTTTGAGCAGTAGGTGGGTAAACAAACAAACAAWCAAACAACCTGGATGACAAGACAAACCRGAGCTCAGGTTTCATTTCTAATCTGATTCAACGTGGGATTAAAAATAACAGCAGCCACTGGAGAGGCAATAAAACAAGAAAAAAATGTGTTTACATGAAACAAAAGCCCATCATTTACACTTTTATCTGCAGCTTTAACAATAAACCATGAGCAGGTGGATTTAAACTGATCAATCTGCAAACTGGTCCTGAGAGCAGCACGGTGGAGCAGTGGGAGGAGTCATCTCCTCACAGCAAGAAGGCTGCAGGTTCTTTCAAACATGAATGTTCAAAGCATCACAGCTCCAGGAAAGACGTTTATTTCCACCTTAAACCCAGAAATAAAACTTCCCTGTGAGCTGTGTGAGACTCAGACGTCGTGTCGAAGAACTGACCCAGAAATAATCGCAGTAGCTCCAGTCGTTGGGCTTCAGCAGCTGCTGCTCCGGTCCTTCACCTGGCAGAGGGAACGTCACGCAGTTTATCTGAAAGACAGAGAGTACACTGAGAAAACACTGAGAATACACAGGAAATATACTGAGAATACACAGGACATATACTGAGAATACACAGGAAATATACTGAGAATACACAGGACATATACTGAGAATACACAGGACATATACTGAGAATACACAGGACATATACTGAGAATACACAGGACATATACTGAGAATACACAGGAAATATACTGAGAATACACAGGACATATACTGAGAATACACAGGACATATACTGAGAATACACAGGACATATACTGAGAATACACAGGAAATATACTGAGAATACACAGGAAATATACTGAGAATACACAGAGAACAAACTGAAAACTACACTGAGAATACACAGGAAATATACTGAGAATACACAGGACATATACTGAGAATACACAGGAAATATACTGAGAATAAACAGGAAATATACTGAGAATACACAGGAAATATACTGAGAATACACAGGAAATATACTGAGAATACACAGGAAATATACTGAGAATACACAGGAAATATACTGAGAATACACTGAGAACAAACTGAAAACTACATTGTGAATACTCAGAAAATACACTGAGAATACACAGACAAATACACTGAGAAAAATCTTAAAGTACACTGAGAATACATTGCGAATACACTGTGAATACTCAGGAAATATACTAAGAATACACTGTGTACACATAGTCCACACAAGGACAATCCTGTCATTAAAGACGGTGTGAAAAACAAACTGCCTAACTGAACCTCAGCAGATGAACAGGACGGGAGCAGAAATATAAAACCAAGTTCTGAGTAAAGAAAACCACAAAACTACAAGAATGTCCAGAGGACGAGCTGAAGGAATGCAGAGGGACACAGAGACAGTACTGTCCACAGAAGGACAACCCTGTCCACAGAAGGACAACCCTGTCCACAGAAGGACAACCCTGTCCACAGAAGGACAACCCTGTCCACACAGGTTCATAATAACCTCAACGGGACAACCCTAAGAGCTCAAATCAACAGAACAGTAGCTAAAAGCTAAAATGTGAAAAAACTGTTACTAAACACTAAACTAAAGTAACAAAGACAGTAACTAACAGCTAAAACTAGCATAAAAAACAAAAGTGAAATGCTGAAGCTGGTTTTTACAAGTTAAAAAACTAAAAGTCACAACAACAGAAGACAGAAAATAATAATGTATAATATAAAAGTCACACTGCTGCTGAAGATGCAGGTTTTGATGGAAAGATTAATAAATCAGCTCAAATAATCCAGAAGTTTGATTTCAAACAAAAACTGAATGCTGAGTCAGCTTTTAGGCAAAAACAACAACAAAAAATAAATAATAAACCTTTCAGTAATCACACACACACACACACACACACACACACACACACACACACACACACACACACACACACACACACATCACAGTGGAGTGTGTGTTTCTGCAGATAAACACAGCAGCTCTCAGCCTCTTCAGTTCCTCCCATGGCTGTAATTATGTAAGGAGCAGCAGCTGCAGCGCTCCTTCCTGCCTGTGCCACGGGCTGCAGGAGCTGCAGGAGCTGCAGGAGCTGCAGGAGCTGCAGGAGCTGCAGGAGCTGCAGGAGCTGCAGGAGCTGCAGGAGCTGCAGGAGCAGCAGGAGCAGCAG